CTGTGGGGAGAAGTGGACACGCCGGAGGGCAGGGAACGGCTACAAGCAGACCTGGACAGGTTGGACAAGGGGGCAGAAAACAACAGAATGCAGTTCAAGGAGAAATGCAAAGTGCTGCACCTAGGGAGGAAAAATGTCCAGCATACCTACTGCCTAGGGAATGACCTGCTTGGTGGCGTGCAAGCAGAAAGGGATCTCGGAGTCCTAGTGGACTCCAAGATGAACATGAGTTGGCAGTGTGACGAAGCCATCAGAAAAGCCAATGCCACTTTATCGTGCATCAGCAGATACATGACGAATAGATCCAAGGAGGTGATACTTCCCCTCTATCGGGTGCTGGTCAGACCGCAGTTGGAATACTGAGTGCAATTCTGGGCGCCGCATTTCAAGAGGGATGTGGATAACCTGGAGAGGGTCTAGAGAAGGGCCACTCGTATGGTTAAGGGACTGCAGACCAAGCCCTACGAGGAGAGACTAGAGAACCTGGACCTTTTCAGCCTCCGCAAGAGAAGGTTGAGAGGCGACCTTGTGGCTGCCTATAAGTTCATCACGGGGGCACAGAAGGGAATTGGTGAGTATTTATTCACCAAGGCGCCCCCGGGGGTTACAAGAAATAATGGCCACAAGCTAGCAGAGAGCAGATTTAGACTAGACATTAGGAAGAACTTCTTCACAGTTAGAGTGGCCAAGGTCTGGAACAGGCTCCCAAGGGAGGGGGTGCTCTCCCCTACCCTGGGGGCCTTCAAGAGGAGGTTAGATGAGTATCTAGCTGAGGTCATCTAACCCCAGCCCTCTTTCCTGCCTATGCAGGGGCTCGGACTCGATGATCTATTGAGGTCCCTTCCGACCCTAACATCTATGAATCTATGACCAGATATAGACACTATATAAATTATTTCAACTGCTACCAAAACTTGAATAGTATTTTTAAGGCTCTTTTTAAATATAATGTTGCTGTGCCCACAGCTGAAAGGAGCTGGTTCAAACAAAACAGCATCCTCAAACTAATACCAATGTTCGAATTATGAAGCTGGCGGCCTTCTGCAGCCCAGTTTCTTATCACAATATTTTTGTTATTCTATTGGGGCCAAATCCAACTCCGCTGAGGTTAATTACTTCAGTGAGAAGTGACTCAGGGCCCTTGTTCTTCTGCTCATGATTGCATGTTGGAAAGCTGCAAACAAGGACACCACGATGCAACCGAGCCTTCCATCTTGGAATTCCAACAGAAGCATGCTGTCTTTTTTGCCAGTCCCTATAAATCCTGCCCTAGCCTGAGCAGTGTTATTGTTTATATGAAGGTATTATCTAGGCACGTGGAATAAGACCATATTATAGGCCAGGAAGTGAGAGAACTGTTCTTGACCAGTGAGCGTACAATTAGTTCTTAAGTTGTATAGTATACGGGGGAGAGAATTTTCTCTAGTGAGTTCCTTGGTGCTGGAGCTTTTCATTTGTTGGAAAGTTGAGGGAGAAGGAAACTTCTGAAGTGAAAAGGTAAACTTTTCTGTATGAAAAATTCTTAAAATATGGTAATTGCAATAAATAATGACTGTGGTGTTAAGGTAGATTTTTACTGACAACTTGTATTAGTGCACAAAATAACGCATGTACTATAAGTATTCACTTACAGTTTCACTGCCAGGCTTCCAACCAGCAGGGCAAACTGAGGGTGGAAGGAACAACAGCAGAGTTAGCAGAAAAGAATAGAGTACAAAGAAAATCAATGTTCCCACTTGATTATTTTTCTGAATACACTCTTCGAAAATTAATCTTTGAATTTTAAATAAAACAGTAAAAAGGTGCCACAGAAGCACCAATTAAATATGTAATGTTAATTTTATGGGACACATTAAATTCTTCTGTTAATCAAAACGGGAAATTCCTGCTTGCCTGTATATATTTTGGCTTTGATTTGATTTGTGTTTTTTGTTTTAACTCTCTCCAGGTTCTATTAATGAAATTATTGGCAAAATAACTATCTCCAGTGAGGATTAATTCTTAGTCCACTAAACACAAGGTTCTATGATAAGAACAGCTGATTTCCAGCCAGTGGAAATGCAGACAACCAAATTTAGTTTAGAATCAACGCTAGGAACCAAATATTAGTATAGGAATGCAGCTATTCTAAAACTTTTGCTAGAGACTAACTTTTTATTGGCTATCTGGCTTAGGAGGTAAAGGGACTGGGAGCAAAACTAATATTTGCTGTTCATGGGGAGCTGTATTTACTAATATAGCTCCTTTCATGGGCAACCTAGGAGAGTTGCTTTAGATAATGAGGGTGCTGATGCTGCAATCAGATATGTATAGGCAAACCATGTGCCCTTGTAGAGTTCCCAGAGCGTCACTGAACTTTTGTGCTTGCTTTTTGTGCTGCTTGGTTGTCAGAATGAACCACTGAGGTTTAAGTGGTTTTCCTCCCTCAGTGCTGCTGCTAGATGAATGATATGAATGCAGTAACCATTTGGAAGACTCTGCTGAATCTATCAGAACATCTTTGCATTTCCTCTGAATTCCTGCAAAACTCAAGCAGATTCTATACATTACTGGAAAGAAGCTAATAATTTATAAATCAAGTAGCACATCTCAGGATTATGTTATCAACTTGGTTTATACTAAAAAAGGACTGGATCTGCTTGATCAAAATGAGAACTTGTCCATTTTAATCTGAGTACAGGACATGGCTGTTTGCACAGGTAATGTCAACATACAAACTGAGGACAAACTACAGCTGGGTCACTTCACATACATTCGCCTGCCTATGCAAATATCTACATGTGAAACTAAGAGCTGGTGAAGCTGCTGAATGTGTCTATGAGTTTTTATATTTAAAGCTCAAACTGGCCAAATCCCCAGTGGGTGTAACGTGGCATAACTTGGGTGGAGGCAAAGGTACAAACAATGCTGAAGTTAATTATACTAAATTATATTAGCTGAGGGTAACTTAGTGTCATATCCTAAGAAAACCAACAGGACTTGCAGTCTGCATTTAACCTGCGCATTCAACCCCACCTCATTTGTGGGAGATGCTTTTTACTGATACAAAACGTGTTTGTTTTTTGGTCACCAACAAATTATAGTGACAACACTTTTTAGCTTGCCCAAGTTTATTAAGAAGGAAGAGGGGTAGATATGCACCTTTATAGACTAACTACCTCTCTGATTTCTCATTGCCTCATACTTCAGTGTTGTCATGCCTAGGGAAAGCGCGTGCAAAATGGATGTAGAAATGTTACTTTGCATTGTGTGTGCACACATGTAAATACTGAGAGTAGGCACATGGCCTGCTGAATATTGAGACCACATAACCAAAAATCTCTTTATAGCATGATAAATCAGTCTTGGAAGCTATCAAATGACTTGTTTCCTAATCACTCCTAAAAAAACCTTTCTAATTTAGTTAAGCAAAAACTCAACACAAGTCCCATTGCCAAAATACTGAATAAAGGACCTTCTCCATGTTTATCGGTGTACTGGAATGCTTGTACCAAACGAAGTGTTTCATCCACTGATCTGCCAACAGGAAGGTCATTCATTGTGATCTGTCGAAGGACCCTCTTATCATCAATAATGAAGAGGCCTCTATGGGGGGGGGGAGGAAAGGAAATTCTTGTTTCAGATAACAGAACTGATGATTCTTATCTGTTATTCACACTGTATTCAGAGGCTGTGGAATATGCATGCCTGTTCTGCAAGCACTATACAAACAGGTTGATGCAGAAATTCTGCCTTAAACCCTGGATTTTTCTTAGCAAGTTCCTTACTGTTACTTATTCCATTGTGCATCCAAAATATTACGGACTTTCACATTTTAGAGAGTCTTCAATACCAGTCTCATAAGTGGAAGACCCTTTTATTGACAGTGTTTCATTTTTTCTGTTGCTGAGAAGTGCCTTCACTGCAGCACTTTCCAGATAATGCCAAAGCCAAATCAGAAGTAATGAAAATGCATTCTTCTTCTGTTATTATCATAGTATTTTTTAATACTCTGTGTGTGTGTGTGTGTGTGTGTGTGTGTGTGTGTGTGTGTGTATATATGTGTGTGTGTATATATATTTACCAAGTTAATGCAGTAATTTGGCATTATAAAGACTTCATATGGAAATCCTGTAACACTGTCCATAAAACAATATTTATTTCTTAGCGCGTAGTTTAAATAGACTGCAGACTTAGTATTGTATCAATAGTGCTGAACTGTTTAACTGAGAATATAAAACACTTTGGAATACATAAGCCGAGGGTTGGCTGCAGATGCTTAGTATACTAATAAAGCAAAGTGCTTGTTATGCTTATATGTGAAGACCTGGTGAGCTCTTGTCCACTCTAACAGTAGATCATGGAAACTGCCATGCTGTATTGCACTAGATGGTTACTCCATCTAGCCTCCTACTTCTCTAATTAAGCAGAACCAGACTGATCGGAGATGTACAAAAACACCACTTATAAACAACAGGGGTAATTTTTATCTTGCATTAGTTTGTTACCCTAGCATATAAAAGTTTACAAACTCTGAAACCTGACATTAGAAATGTTGCTACAGTGAACTATTTGAAGTGCTGACACCCATGCAAGTATACCATACTTTTACATTTTGCAAAATTCTTGATTTCAAGGTGCTTTTAAAGTACTGAGTGTCCTTGCATTGTGTAGAATTTCCTTCTACTACTTCTGAATTTGCTACCTTCCAATTCTACTGAATATTCCTTCTCATAAGACAGGAAAAGGTCCTAGTTCCTGATATGCCCCCTCTTTACCAGTCCCAGACTTTTGAGGGGATATTCCTGGTATTGCATAATACTCCTGATAAGGACATATTGCTGGTTTACATAATGGCAAAAATTCTGTGTTTTCATCCTATCCTTATGCATCCTAATAACGTGTTTGTTCTACTAACCATAATTTTACACTGAGCAAAGGTCGTCATTCAGTTGCCTAAAAGGCATTTTTCCTGTGTTGATAAAGTTAAAATTCACACCCTTAGAAGGCATGAGTATACGTTACATAAGTAATGTACTTTTAGTGTACATTACTTTGAATTTTCTGTTATGCTGCTTTTCATTTTCCTGTCATGATGCCATTTTAACACAGAAACTGTCTCCAGTTTCTTGCATCCCTCCCTGATTTTTGATTGACTAAAGTAACCATCTGCAAATTTTGCTACCTTCCTGTTCAACTTTTTAAATAATTAGTAAGTATCTAACACTGGCCAAGTACAGAATCCCACCATTAATCTTTTGCTATGTTGAAAATTAACCATATAATCCTATTTTGTGTACTCTTCAGCAATAATCTAATAGCATCAAAGTTAGAATCTGTACCCCACCCCCATCACGGATGGCAATGTATTTACTTTCACTTTTGTGCACTGTAGCTAATAAAAGCAATATTTAGCTTTTAAAGCTCCCAGGGGGGACAATCTCTGCTTACCCAAATGTCTCCCAGATGGGTGTTCTTACTAGCCTGTTGAACTTCACTGTTCCTTCTTAAAGGGACAGACTATTTTGTTACATTTTGCCCCAGTAAGCAAGAATTGCACTTGTAATCAGCTGCCAAACATTTCAAAGATGGTTCTTTTATTAAATTAACTAATCTTGAATATGTAGTGGTTTCTCTTAGGAAATGAATAAAATTAGGTTTTTATACTTGCTGGATAAGCCATACTAACTTGCACAAGGGAACCACAAGTTTTAATTCTGAGCTTTTCTTACATTTCAAAAGTTAACTTTAATTTTTTTTTAATGTTTCCATCTGGACTAAGTTTGTATACACAATGCACACATCTACATGTGCTTTACTGTCGAGTATGCCAATTAGCTCCACAGTAGAGTGTCACAAGCTACATGTGTGTTGGTATGAATGATGTTAGAACAAGGAGCAACAGTCTCAAGTTGCAGCAAGGGAAGTTTAGGTCAGATATTACAAAGAATTTTCTTACTTTCCCCCTAGGAGGGTAGTAAAAACCTTCAAGGATGGAGAGTCCCACAACCTCTCTGGGTAACCTGTTCCAGTGTTTTAAGACCTGGCTAGACAAAGTGTTGGCTGTGATGATCTAGTTGGGGATGGTCTTGCTTTGAACAAGGGGTTAGACTAGATGACCTCCTGACATCTCTTCCAACCCCAACTTTTTATGATTCTAACTGCTAAAGCAAGACAGAATGCAGTGCAGCAGCTTTTTATACCTAAGAGTGTGCCCTTGGTCCTCCAGATATACTCCATAATCTTTTGAAATCTGGTGTGTCAAATCTGAAAGAAGTGGGATCTTCAATGGCCCAAGTCCTCCTTGTTTTCGTGGAGTATTAATCCTTTTGACAAAAAAAAGCAGTTTATTTTAAAAAAAGACTTCTATTCCATACACGCACGCACACCTCACTTGCACAATATTCCCTAACTGAATCCTTAACGGTCAGGGACTGAAATGATAGAGACAGGACCAGCATAGCTTCATATAACTTCACTTATTTTGGACTCTGGCTACCAAGCTTTGACTGCTTCATCCATTAAGACTTAAATTCATTTCCTTCATTTCCCTATTATTAGAAGTCTACATGTGCTCTTCAAAATTATCTTGCTTTTGGAAAACTGAAGTTTCAAGATAGTGATTTGTTTTTCTTATCGTTTCTTTTTTCTTACCTCCCAAATCTGGGGGCTTAAAAATGGCAAAAGACTCAATGAAAAGATGGTACCCAGAGACATTAGGATGTTCCTTTCTAGCAATAAACTGTATTGTGGTTTTGTAAATAAAATAAAGGTTCTCAGTTCTGTGTGTGAATCGCTATTTAAAAAGTGAGCTCAAGTCTGAAAAGCAGTTTAATGCAGGTAGCAGATTTTTTTTTTCATTATATCAATATTTGTTCAATTTATTGTCTATACTCATTCCATTCCTTCATTTCTCTCCCAGTCTGCTTTCCACCCTTCTCCAACATGTTCATTCATATACAACCATTTTTACTCTACTCTTTAGGTCTCCTTGCATGCTTCACTTGTACATTAAAAATGTTCCTTCTCCCTTTATGGCCAAACTACTACCCTGTCTACATTCCCATAACTTAAAAAACCCCACAAAAACCAAAAAAAATGATAGCAAGAGCCTTGACAGATTTTTAGTGTCAATTTATCAAATTGTGACAGTGCTGCGTTTTAACTTGTAATGAATAACTAATTTAACCTCTTTCTGTTTGAGATTCTTGCATGGACTCGCTCTGTTTCTGAGATGATCTTTCGGTCTGCTAAGCAGCTCAGCAGCCTTTTCAGATTTTTATTAAACTTTTGTATAACTGTAGCATCCCAGCACTTTTACAAAGTGCATGAAGCCACACGATTAGTATTTGGTAGGTGTGTTTCTTTCTCCTTTTCCTTCTGTTTCAGCTACAGGCAGTTGAATGAAATCTATGCAAATCTCAGAGTCCAAAGAAAATTCCTGTAAGTCTCTTTGTCTTATTTACTCAGGTTTAGTTAATAGTGATCCAATTTTCCTTCCTTCACATTATACATTGTGGTCATATGCAAATTGCCTTTCATGAAGTCGTTCTTTCTCAGATAATTTTCATGCTTAACATAGCATGCTGCATGCAAAAATGGTTTTAGACCAATGCATGAACTGTATGTATCATTTCAGCTAACATATGGGAAGCAAACACTTTGATAAGGTCATATGCAATTGGGTTATGAACATTTAACACTGTCATCTTTTAAAATAAACTTTTAAAGACTGGTTTTCATTTAAGAGTATCTTGTAAGTAACAAATGGCAGCATTTTTAGATCATGTTTTGTAGTTCAATATGTACTTGACAATACTGGTCTATCAGACATTGTCTCTAAATTTGGGGAAGCAGTTGATAACCTAGTATGGATGCACAAGTAATTTCATATATAAAAAGACAGGGCAAGCTACGTACCATGCTAAGTGTGTGAACTGAGAGTCAACTGAACATGCCACCACTTCGGTGTTTATTCTTCTAAACTCTTCAATTCGGTCACTGAAGGCGATGATCTCAGTTGGACACACAAACGTGCTAAAATTTAAAATGGGTTAAATTCTCATTTCAGAATATTGAAGATTTCTCCACAGAACTTATCTGTGCACTGACAGAAGACATTAGTTATTTTTTTTAGTAGAGAAAAATGGAAAACAAATTGTAGATTAGTTTTATCTTAACGTTTTGTTTACTTGAAATCAAATCTGTTAGAAACGGCATTTTTACTAGTGTTTATCAAGATGTTCACACACATTCTAAAGAAACACTCGATTCATAAATTGTAAGACTGAAAATACAGTCAGCATGCATTACAACTTACAGTTTAAATATTCACAATGCCTGTTCTTAGATTTTAAAAAAAGCAAGTGGCCAGGTTTCCAGGGTTAACTTTTATTTCCTTAACACTACTAGAGCTGCTTAATGTTCCTACTACTTCATTGCATACTTTTATTTCTCACTTCATGGAAATTGAAAAAATGCTGCTGAAGTCAAAGGAGCCATTACACCAATGTTATGAGTGGGAATTGGACAAGTTATGGAGGGGGGGTACTTAAGTACATATCTGAATGACAAAGGGAAATTCGCATGTTCTGAATATCACTTTAAGGGACCATGAAGTAGACAGTGAAGAGTATTACTTCATCTGCATTTCCCACTTGCAGCAATGACTTACATGCTTGACCAGGAATGGAAATGCTGTCCAGCAAAGTACTATTATGTAAAGTTATTGCCCAAAGTAATCTTACATTCAAAAAGGACAAATATCACGTAAAATTTCACTACTGCAAGATGACAAGTCCAAGGAAATGCCTTTCTTTCCATCACCAAAATAAAACATTAGACAATGAAATGTCAAGTGCAGTTGCAATCAACTTCTTTAATTTTTACTTGCTCTGAAGTGGGCAGAAAAAAATGGTGCATTTACACTGGTTTTACTTACAAGTCAAGAGGGTAGAAGAAGAAGACAAGATATTTTCCGTGGTAATCTGTTAATTTCAGCTCTTTAAACTCTCCATTGATTACTGCTGTTCCTTCCCAATAGGGTGCTGGCTTCGAGACTGTGAAATGGAATACATCCAAAATAAAGTATAAAATGAGGCATTTGCATTCATATATATGTGTGGTTTTTTAGCACCTTGTGCCCAAGGATATGTTTTTTCCTTATTTCAGCACAGCTGTGGTTTTATGCTTACTTATACTGCGCAGTACAATGCAGGTTGTGTAGCTACACAAACTTGTAATTACTTTTAAAGGTGGGGTGTCAAACTAGCTTCCTGTCCTGGCCAGACTTGGACCTGGGGCTCCTTGAGGGCTGGATATGGCTCTGGGCACAGGATGGCTCTGGCTGTGGCAACTACCTAGTTTGTACAGTGGCAGCAGCACCTCCACTCCTGCTGCATACACCATGCTGGAGCTGGAGTGGTAGCTCCTGGTCTGGCCTGCCGTATGGGGCAGCAGTGTATCTAGCAGTCGAGGAGCTGGGGCTGCAGTGATGATGGAGGTGAAGCAAGTCCTCGCTTGCCCACTTGCTGCTGACTGCCATGCTCATTGGGACTCTAGGGCCCTGGATTCTAAGGCAGGCCATTCCCCCAACTTCCCATGGCCAGGCAGAATCCCAGCAGGCTGGGTACAGCATCTGGTCTGCAGGAATTATGTTGGACACCCCTGCTTTAAAGCTTTCATGACTGGCAACTCCACTCTGCTGGTAGTCTCTCCAATAAGAGGATGAGAGTCTTCCAGTAAATAAGGAAGTCACTGGTAAGTTTGTAGATGACTGTGGATGATCAGACATGTTCCTGTTTACTGCAAATGTGGCAAATAGTTCTGGGAAGAAGTAGATCCCAGTGATGCTGGGTCACAACTCTTTTTTCCCCTTTCTCCATCTTGTCTATCCATCTCCATAAGGAGACCAGCTTGTTCAAAAAGATCAATGCCTTGTTACAAATCAGAGCACTGGGGATGATTTGATGCTCGGGTCTTTCTGGTATTGATGTTAAGATTACATTTCTTCAGCTTTAGGGGTATAGGTTGTAGTCATGTTGGTGTAAGGACATAGGCAGACAAGGTTCTTTGGGTAAATCTGGTATCTTTTATTAGACCAACTCATATAGTTGGAAAAATCCCTCTTTGTAAGCTTTCAGGTATAAATACCCTTTGTCGCTAACTGCAGATGCTTCCTTAGCCTGACCAAGGGTATTTATACCTGAAAGCTTGCGAAGAGGGATTTTTCCATCTATTTGAGTTGGGCTAAGAAAAAGTATCAGATTTACCCAAAGAACCTTGCCTGCCTATTTCTTCAGCTTGGTCTTTAAGGTGTCCTTGAATTTCTCCTTTGCCCACCTCTGGAGTGGTGGAAGTATAGGACCTGTTTTGGGAGCTGGTTGTCAGACATCCTTAGGGCACATCCTGTCCAATGGAGCGGGTGCTATATAAACATGTGTTCAATGCTAGTGGTGCTTGCTTGAGCCAGAATGCTGGCATTCTTTCTTCTGTCTTTCCAAGACATTGCTGATGATAACACTACAAAGCTTTCAGGCATTTCCTATATGTTGTCCAAGATTAATGCACATACAATAGGGCAGGGATGAAAACAGCCTGATGGACAAGAAGTTTAGTTTGGGTTCTGATGTCATGATCACTGAAGACAGATTTTATCCAGTGTTGAATATTATCTATTTTTATCCAGTGTTGTATATTGTCTATTTTTTGGGAATGGTAGCTACCCAGGTAGGGGAAATACTCAACGTTCTTTAACAATTGCTGTCTAATTGTAATATGTGGAGGAGCAGCAGGTTGGTTTGGGGTGGCCTGATTAAGTACTGTCGTTTAAGTGAACCATACATGTGAACAGCATAACACATCACACAATTAATTATCAGCTGACATCTCACAGATTTAGGACCTTTATTTAGAACCAAATTCTTTATTTTAGTATGAAACTTACTTCAGATTTGGGAAACTACGCTATCTAGGAATAACTTGTACGCTAGCAGAACAAAATGGCTCTGCTTCAACCTAGTTTTACTCCCAGTCAAGAACAGTATTCAGGATTCATTTTAGGTTATGCATTTCAGGAAACGCCTAACCTAAAATGGGATGCACAGAACACAGATTCCTACACCTATAATTAACTTGGATGTTTCATCACAAAAAAAAAAAAAATCAGATTATGCAGGAGAAAAATGTTCACTAATACAATTAATTGCATTTTAAATTCTCTTACAGGAACTACTGTGTTTACTACTCTCCTCACCAAAGAATAAGTTAGAATGGAATATGTTTTAAAAATGTGAACTCGGTGAAATAGTACTTCTTAAAATCAAAGTCCACAGCAATGTGAATTCTGTGCCTGTAGACAAAGTGTGCTGGTGATGACTGATGAAATACTGGTGAATAACTGATGAAATAAAATGTGTGAACTTTTTTTTTCTTTAGTCACAGCTCAAAGTAATATTTGGTACTGATCAATATAGGGACTGATCTCTGTTAATAAATATGCCACTAATTATCATCTGTTGCAAAATGGCATATGCCATATGGATTATGGCACTAGACGTTTAGAGCACCATTAAGCTTGTTTTGTTTAGGACATTTTAGAAATTATGATGTACATTACAACTTTGTACAGTAGTTACAAGTGCAATACAAGCAGTAAGTGAACACATACATCAAGCGCAGCAAAATGCTCTTTAAATGATTTACCAAGTCTAGTTCAATTTTCAATTGTTTGTGGCAATACTTCACTTCTTTTTTATTTTTATAATATTCTTGGTATTGAGAGAACTTGAGATTTCACTCCATTTCTTACTGACATAAATAGGGGGAGACTGCTTGTTTCAAAGTGTGGGCAGGGATTTAGAGCAGGAAATCTTCTGATTTTTTAAAAATGTTTTCCTTCATAAAATGATCTCCCCCTTTCCCCCAACACCTAATTGTTAACTTGAAAATTTTTATAGCTTCCCATATCTCAATCTTTTTCAACACTTTTTTTAAAATGAAGATTCATTTTTTTTGGTTTTGAAATGACTTTTGAAGCATTTCCATTTGACTTTCCTAAGTCATGGCAAAGTTTTAAAACTTAGTTCTGAGATTTTTACCTATACATCTTACAGTGGCCTGATCAAAAATATTTTTCAAATTATGTGGATGAGTAACATCAGACATTTTGACATGGACTTTTTGTCCTAGTTCAGAAAGGGAGAAATTTGGGAATTTTAGACTTTTTTGCAGGACAAGAGAGCCTTTTATTTATTTAATTTAGTTCAGTTCTAGTCTTATTAGCCAGTACAACTACTGGCAATTTTATTTGTGCTACAAAACTGATTTAAGTGATTCCTGCCCTCCCCCTCTGCCCGCTCTTGGAAATCTAGTGGGTGATATTAAATCATTTAACTGCAACACAAGGAAAAAAAATTAGATGTAATTTTGCAACGAAATTCATTCACAGGAGAATGCTTTTGTTGGCTAAATCCAGTAACCACTCAGGAAAGAGCTGAAGTCTAACTACACCAAAAACAAGTCTGGCTAGAGTTAATGACTTCTGTCTCTAGCACTTGTCTACCCATAGACAACCACCACTGTTGAAATGAGTGGTGTATGAAGCTAAACAATAACAGTGACACCCTTTAAGTAAGCAGATAGTATTTTTAAATCTTTCAGTGAGAAGAGGGAGAACTGCAGGGATAGAACTGCAAATCTGGCCCTTTACTAAGACAGTCATCAATGAACTGCATCTATATAATGTATAAAATGGAATTCTGCAAAAATATGAGCTGTCCAATGAAGCATCACACTCTGCCTGGGGTGAGGCCCTTGGTTCTGCAGCTTTCTGTGCGTGGTACGTCTGCTCTACACCACTGTGTGATGTAGGATACTGGGCAAGCTGGATCTACAGCCTGACCCAGTAAATGGCAGTTCTTTATGTTCTTATTTCTCCTTGCCCCGTAACTCAAGTTCTCCTGAGACTGACTTCTTGAGCATGTAACAAACTCAGAAGATAGACTGGTCTGCAGTATCCCTATAATGCAGTGATCCAGACTTACACTCTGACTGACCCCAGGCTCTGCATAGACTGAATGTACAAGAGCTGCGGGGCCTTCATTCAGGCTTGCTGTGAATGCCTGCCTGCAGAGCCCATGGCAGAAGGGCAGCCCAGAGTTTCCTGGGTGTGTCCAGCTTCATGCTAAGCATCTGTTTTAGGCATATCCATCTATCCCACAGGCTCTCCTCAGGGACCCCAGCGTGGGAGCCTGAATCAGGCTCACCACTGCAGTTGCTTCTAATTAGGAATCGCCCCCCAAGCCCATGACAGGTCTAGCCCCTCTGCTCTTGAACGTCAGGTTGAACAGAGAGGCCTGTTTATCATCTTCCTCCTGCTCCCCTGTTTTTTCCTCCTTCCTTAGCACTTATCCTGGGGATGCCCCTGGGGCAATGCCAGCAGTCAGTTACTGGGGGAAGGAAGCTATACAAGGACATGGGGAAGAGGACCCTTTGCTCCCTACCCCAAGGACACTCAGTGCATGTGTGGGGAGGCAGGGAGGGGGGAAGGCAGGCCAGGAAGTGCTTGCAGGCCAGGAAGTGCTTGTGTGTGTGAGTGAAGTGGAAGGGATGTGAGGAAATTGGGAGGTATGTGTGTGTGCGTGCATGTGTGAGGGAGGTGGGGTGTGTGTGGGGGTGCTTGTGAATGAATGGGGTGTGTGGGTGAGAGTGTGAGGAGGGGAGTGCTTGTGAATGGAGTGTGTGAGTGCAGGTGCATGCCATGTCCTTCCTACCCTGGCCCCCTGCCACACACCCACTGCCTGCTGCTTGTCCTCGTCCTCCCCCTGAGGAGGCAGGTGTATGTGAGGTGAGGTGGGGTGCATATGGAAGGGAAGTGCTTGGTTGTGTAAGGGGGGAGGACTGCTTGTGAGCAGTGGCAGGTGTATGTCTGTGAAAGTGAAGCATTGTGGGGTGTGCGAGTGAACTGTGGTGGGCAGGAGTGCACGTGCACGAGACAGGGTGGTGTACTTGCGTGGGAGGGGAGTGAAGGGGGGCACAGCGGGAGTACAGCAGAGCGTAAGCGAGACCGCGCGTGTTAGCACAGCATGTTTCAACCTGCGGGTCACAACCCAAAAGAATACATGAAAGGGCGGCGAACAAACTTTTAAAAATGGGTCCTCCTTTAGAGGAGAAAAGCATGGGAAAACTGTGGCTTTTCCCTGGCAGAGGTCCAGTCAGCCAGGGACCACTACCATGCCCCACCCCCACCCCCCAGGAGCCCTAGGTGAGGGGCAGGGGGCTGCTTTCTAACTTTAAAAAAACCCCTCTATTTACTAATCAGAACTGGCCAGCCATGTTTACAAATGGGTCCTGGTGCAAAAAGGTTGAGCACCCC